TTTTGTTCTTTAATCAGTAGGAGGCAGTTACAGAGTCTGCAATCTCATGTTAAGAGATAATCATATGATACTAGAGGCCCGGTGCACGAAATTCATGTGCTTGGGGGAGAGGGGCCCCAAAGCCTGGCCTGCACCCTCTGGCAGTCTGGGAGCCCTCAGGGGATGTCTGACTGCCATGAGCCGGGCTTCTGGCTGAGTGGCGCTCCCCCTGTGGGAGCGCACTGACCACCAGGGGGCAGCTCCTGTGTTGAGTGTCTGCACCCTGGTGGCCAGTGCACGTTATAGCGATTGGTCATTCCACCTTTCGGTTGATTTGCATATTAGCCTTTTATTATATAGGATAGGATGTTAAGAAGAGCAGAAGTCATTATAAGGTTCTCTTTTCTCTCTCTCTGTCCTGTCTCTTCAATTTATCCTATGGGGTGCAGGGGAAAACAAGTTACTTCTTTCCTGTTCACCAGAGGTAGCTGAGAGCGAGTAGGACCTGAATGAGTGTGCAGGAATTTGCCTTCTCTTAATTTCCTAAAGGTAGACTTCAGAACCAATCAAAGAAACAAAAGTCAGGAAACATTTTTCTTATGCTGGAGCAATAATAAATATTGAACTACCTCTGGCACTTAGATAAAATGATCTTGCTTGGCTTTATTTAAAAATTTTATTGATTTTAGAGGGAGGAAGGGAAGTACGGTATTCAGAACATCTCCCACACTAAAAAAAAAAAGTCTATCTCCATCCCCGTCCCTCCCCCCCTTGCCAAAAAAAAAAAAAGAAATGAACCACTCGTGGTCACAGAATTACCAAGATTGATCTTTGGTCATTATCTATTGAAATGGAGATTTTACTTGTTACAGTGAACATTATCATAAGTGTTGCTGGTTCAAGAGACTTACTATCAGTAAAAGACTTATTGATACAGAAATGTGATTATAACATGGAGTTCAGCTAATGGTTTCTGACAACATACTGGATTTTGTTTCTCAAGTAGAAGGTTGTGGGTTTTGCTTAGGAAATGATAATATTTTAGCTGTTTATCTGTGTCCTGCAGCTGGCAGAGGAATGCAGTACACTGATGATGAGTTTGCGTTTGGATCCCTGAAAACTCGCAGACTTTACTTAGGGTTTCCAAAAGACGTAGAAAAGAGACATAGATCTTTTTCTTTTTTTAAGTCATCTTGTTTGGAGGTATCACTGAATCAGGACACTGCCGCAATTTCATATTTACTGTTCCTTTTTTTACCTTCTTCAAAGCATGATCCTAATAAGTAGTGTGTTTGGGGGGGAGGGTCACACTGAGCCCATTCAGCCCTGTTGAGAATATTACAGTTGACACTTAGGACTGCAGCTCCACTGCTGCATCCCTTCCTAGTGCCTAAAAGTGCCTATCACCCCAAAATATTTGTCACATAAGTGAATCTCCACCACAGTGGATTTAGGTTAGGTGAAGGCATCTGTTCTTTTTGAACTTTCCTTGTTTCTATTTTCATTGATAGTTCACTTCAACAAGGGTTTTAGAAAAGCTGAAGTTTGGGCTCCTGTTCAGGGAGTAAGTCCAAGCCACAGTAGTCTTATTCAGCTGATAAATGCTTGGGTTTTGGTCACTGCTGCTGATTAAATCATCTTTCCATCATGGAATAATCTGTCCAACATACCACAGAATCCTAGTTTGGGAAGGTCATGTCATCCCTCAGATATCCGAAAAGTTATTAGGCATAAATGAGGAAACTCCAAAGTTGAAAAAACTTGCCCAAATTAGTGAGTTTTGTGAAGCTACTACTTAAAAGTTAACACTTTTGGCCCTGATGGCTCAGCTTGTTGGAGCATCATCCTGTACACTAAAAAGTTGCAGGTTTGATTCCCAGTCAGAGCACATACCTAGGCTGTAGGTTTGATCCCTGATTGGAGTGCGTGCAGGAGGCAACCAATCCATGTTTCTCTCTCAGACTGATGTCTCCCCTTCCCTCTCCCTCAAGTCAATAAAAACATGTCCTCGGTGAGGATTAAAAAATAAAAGACCAATTTAAACCCCTGAGTTATTTTATGTTGCCTCTGTACTCGAGTTTGCTGTGAATGTTTCTTAACACATGGTGCATGTGTTCTTCTATGCAGAAAATTAAAAATTCCTTTATAATTCAGTGTTGAACTCTTTAAATATATATATTTTATTGATTTTTTATAGAGAGAAAGGGAGAGGGATAGAGAGTTAGAAACATCGATGAGAGAGAAACATTGATTAGCTGCCTCCTGCACACCTCCTACTGGGGATGTGCCCGCAACCAAGGTACATGCCCTTGACCGGAATCGAACCTGGGACCCTTCAGTCCGTCCGCAGGCTGAAGCTCTATCCACTGAGCCAAACAGGTTAGGGCCAGTGTTGAACTCTTAATTATCCTGTATTTGGATGGGAGACAGGTCTATGCAAAATATATTCCAGTGTTCTTTTGAAGTTAAAATGTATCTGCTTAACCTCCCCCCACCCACCCCAAAATACTGCTTAACTCTCCCCCCTATTCCCCACTCCAATCCCCCACAACATTTTGTTGTTTGGAATCTTTTATTATGGAAATGGTTAAATTGGCATGCTTCTTTGCCCTTGTTGTAGCTAATATGGTAGGTGACATACAGATGATCAATCACATAAGCTATTCCATTCTTGGCCTCCATGCCCTTCCTCTTAGTCATTATCTCATTATCTTCCACAAAGGGTTTTTGTGTTAGGTTCTCCTGTCTAATGCAGCTGCATAGTGATATCCGATATTATAGTATTTAATATTCAAGGGTATTAATTTTTACTTTTTAGGGTTTTCTCTTATAATAGCTGAAATCCTGTCCATAGTGTAATATGTAACTGTAATAGTTTTTACGTTATTTCAGATTTATTTTTTACCCCTTCAGAGATGAAACTTAACGGTGACCATAGTTAACCCCTGCCCCACCCCACTTCCCTGGCTATCTCTGTTCATTAATAGTTAATGTGTTTAAGACACTTGTGATTGGACACTTTAGGTTGCTTGGATTTAATATAACCACTTTATGTTTTACCTCTTCAAGTCTACAAATATTCAAGGTCACCCAAACATTATTGCTCTTACTTTCTGAGGTATACATGGCATATCATGGGATACCTGCTGGTGTCATGGGAAGGTAACTTGGAGCACCAGAGACATGGCCTTTATCTGGCAAATTGTCCTAAGAGGCATGGGCAGTTTTAAATTGTTGTTGGAAATGTTTCACAATGACAGATGTTTGTGGCTTGGGGTGACAGTTATTGAGAAGAAGAGTCATTGCAGTAGACCTGCCTGAACCTTTTTGTTGTATTGAATCAGCCTGTTGTTTGGTCCACCTCTTGGAACTTTACACCTTTGGAAACTTCACACAAACACTTCTGTATTAATGGGCTTCTCATATCCTTAACAGAATAAATTATCAAATAATTTCTAAGACATATCAGGCGATTCTTACAGTAGGTATAGTGATTCTTTGAATTAAATCAAGCACTATCAATTCATTCTTACCCCTAGACATGACCTGTCTGTTGAATTTAATGACATTTCCCCCCGTATTAACTGCTGGACATACATTTAAGCAGTTAATACTTTCACTTTGGTGTCTTCCTCTGCATTTTCACTATTGTTGAGTTATTGGGCTCTTAACAATTCATATCTGAACTACTAGTCCAGGAACATCCTATAGTATAAAGGAAAAATAAAAGAGAAATAATTTATAATGTGTATTTCAGTATTCAAATACTCAGCAAAAATTATACTCTAGTAAGAAAAGGACCTGGAGATTTACAAATCCCCCCAACTTTCCTGCTGTACCTTGTTAAACAAGTTAATAAGACCAGTCTTGATTCTGGTATGGTTTGAAGTTGCATATTATGAATAGCTTTATTTCCTTCCTAATATAGTATGTGGTTAATATGGCATGAGTTACAAAATTTAAATTAAATTACTGGGAGCAAATTACTACTTATAAAATGGTTAGAACACTTCATTATTGCATGGTTAGGTCTCCCTTTTATGGTTTTTACTCAGTTTAAAAAAATGTTTCTGGCCGAACCGGTTTGACTCAGTGGATAGAGCGTCGGCCTGAGGACTCAGAGGTCCCAGGTTCGATTCTGGTCAAGAGCATGTACCTTGGTTGCGGGCACACCCCCACTAGGGGGCGTGCAGGAGGCAGCTGATCGATCTCTCTCATTGATGTTTCTGGCTCTCTGTCCCTCTCCCTTCTTCTCTGTAAAAAATCAATAAAATATATTAAAAAAAATGTTTCTGGAGGTTAGGGGAATAATGTGCTGTACTGACAGACTCCTTCATTTTAGGGTTTTGGTACTTTGTATAGTCTTGTTCACATATGTGAATTCATGTCATGTAATCAAACAGCCCAAAGGGGTGAGTTGTCTGCAAATACTGAGAGAGCCTTACAAAGGAATCAGGTTGATTAGTCCTTTATTTCTGTAAAGGTCAGATTGTTGCCTAGTTGTGACAGTAATTCTTTGTATTGAGACTATACCCCCAACCCCATCCCAGCTCTCCTGACCAATTTTTGCTTACACATAAAAGATCCCTTGGTAGAAGCTAATTATGTGTTAAAACACCTTAAACTCTCAAGTCTAAGCCTAGATATCTTGTAGTCATATAGTTTTTTTAAAGTACTTGTTCCTGTAGTGGCAAAGGTTTGTCTGAGAAGCTATCAGAGTGATGCTTTATTGATCGAGGAAAACATGTAAATAGGAGTAGCTGTAGGTTCCTGGAAAGTTTTGTCTGTATGTATAGTTCTGCAGTTTCTAAAGGCATGCTGAGGCCTGATTGCGCCCATTTTGTGGACAATTAAGCATTCTAAAATCTGCAGTTGACTAAATAGTCCACATTGTATCATTTTAAAGATAATGTATTATCCTGGCATTCTACCTTGTAGAGAAAAGTCTTGTGGGCAGATCTAAGTGATTTAACTTGATTCTTAGGATATTTTTCATGAAAATACTGGTTTTTCTTTTGCAGATTTTCTTGTGAGACCTTCTAGTAGAGAAAGTTCTTGGGACAAAGTTCTTGGTAAGTCTCCCCTCCCGCCAACTGTGCTGTTTTGAGGCAGGTAAAACAAATTTACAGATTAACTTGGGGCATCTGTTTGTCCTTGTACACAGTGTGTGCACAGTTATTGAGATGAGCTCTTACATTTTCATTTTAATGGTAAGTCTTGAAACGTTTTTTCACTGGAACTCAAGCAAGGTTGCTTTTTTTATATGTAATTGTGCCATAATATAATATACTGTGCCTGGAAACTTGTATTTAAGTGGAGATTGAATGAGGTGTAGCCCTACTCTTTTTTTTTTTTTTTAAATAGATGGTCCTCAACAACATGAAGTTCTTTTAAATTGAAACTTGGTTCTTATTTTGAATTTTCTTAAATTGTTGTTATATATCTATATGAGAACCAAGGCCATGTTACTAGACTTAGTGGCACTAATTGGATTTTTAAATAGAAAACAAGTTCTAAAAATTTGTTAGCTCTGTCTTCAGTATGGATATTAATTCCAGTCCTATCCTTTTCATAGACCTGTGTGTATCTCTTACTGCCTAAGTCTTAATGACTGCCTCTTGTTTCTGCCATCTGTTTAATCTAGGAAATTATAATCTAATATTATTGAAAAGAGAAGTTGTTTTGGTTTTTTAAGTTTTTAGATCCAAATCATTTTCTTGTTCCAGAACCTTGAACATGGCATGTTAGACTCTTCACAAGTGGGCTTTAAAAACATCTCCATCAGTCATTTCACAAATGCACAAGGCTGAAGTGTGGATTAGCACACATGGGAATGTCAGCCTGCAGGTGTTAAAACTTCTGTAGAGCCTTGCCGGTGTAACTCAGTGGTTAGAGCATCAGCCTGAGCACCAGAGAGTCATGGGTTTGATTCTCAGTCAAGGGTACTTACCTGAGTTGCAGGTTTGATCACCGGCTCCTGTGCATGTGGGAGGCCATCAGTCAATTAATCGATGTGTTCTCTCGCATTGATGTTTCTCTCCCTCTCCCTCCCCTCTCCTCTTCCTTTCCCTTTCCCCCTCATCCCCCTCTTCCACTCTCTCTATAAAAATCAATGGAAAAAATATACTCGGGTGAGGATTACTAACAACAAAAAACCTGATAAAGGTATTAGCACAGTTTATGTGAATTTTTAGATGAATATAGAATATAGGGGCAATAAGGCAATTTTGCCTACTAAGCCAGTTTGGCTCCCACAAATAGGGAGATCCATTTTGAACTTACAGGTAAAACATTTTATAATATTACAAGAGTATTGTGTTTGTACTTGCATGTTGGTTTAATTATTATTGCTTTACTGTTTTCATCCAAAGCTTATAACATTTTTCATATTACTAGCAACATTAGGAATATGAGCCCGTGCTATTTTTTTGCCCAAAATCCAGGAGGATTTTCACAAAAGCATATGGAGTTTGCATTTGACTAGTGAAAATTGGCTGGGTAATATTGAACATATTCTGGGCTGACTCTGGTCAGGTCTTTGGGTCTTTGTATATGTAGTTCCTTTAATTGGAGTATGGCCAACTGGGGGAAAATTGCTAATTTTGTCCCTCTCCTTCCCCCCATCTCCCCTTTTAAAGATCCAGGCATAAAGGAAAGAAAAGCTTTGCCATACATTGAAGAAGGGACGGGGATCTCTCCTCCTAATCTGGGCCTCCTGTCATGGTAAGTAAATAACAAGCAAATACCGTAGTTGCCGGCGTATAAGACGATTTTTTGGCCCTGAAAAATATGCCTCCAAGTGGGGGGTCGTCTTATACGCCAGGTACACTTCAGATAGACTGCCCATAGTGCTTGCCCCGTGCCATAGTGGCCTCCCGATGCCCGCCCACTTCATTCCACATACCGTTCAGGCATCAGCAGCGCTGCTGGGTGTATG